TTTTAAAGATATAAATGGAACAAAAATATCAAAACCAAAAAAACTAACACAATTACATTTCATTGAATTTGAAAAAAATAACACTGTTAATAAATGTTTGTTTCCTTTTTTCGTAATAAAAATTTATTCTAAATCCAAAAAGATACATGAATATAAACATTCCGAAGTATTTTGTTAAAAATAACTGAAAATGGTCATATATCCAAATGAAAAAATTTTAAATATATTTGAACTTAGTTCAAGTATAGAAAACATGTAGTTAAAGTTTTCTATAAAAATAGTTAATGATATATGCCAAAATCATTTTGTTGCTCAAAAAACAATTCTCCAAGTTCTATAAGATATACTATATTTTAGGTTTTATTTTCTGGAATTTTTAAAAAATAATATTTATGTTTTAAACTTTTTTTAATTGCAGAAATAATATATACATTATTGTACATCTTATGTAGTTTTTTATAACTATTGTTTCTTTCAATCATAATAATTGTCAAGAAAAATATTGTTGATACATTTATTGTCGTTAAATTATATTGAACAAATATTTTGCAACATTTGAACTAGTGTTCTACATCAAAATAATGTACCTATTTTGATCAAAAATTCGATTTTTTTCCTTAAATCCTAAATATGATTTTCTCAACAAACTAACTTTAAATAAAAAATTTTAATTGTTCTTATTAAAATAATTAAATTTGAAAGAAAATTTGTAAATTTTGATGACTCTATCAAACACATCTCATTGAAGACTACATATTTCAGAATAAATGAATATCTTTGTTTCTAATTATTTTTTATTGTTAAAGAAAATAATAAGAAGCAAAATTTTGTTTAGTTGTCAAAAAATTATTTTAATGATTTTTAAAAAATAAATAAACATTTGTATTGGTGTTTTATTATTTAATTATCTTATTGAATAGTGAGACTTAAGTGATCAAATATGAATATTTGAAATTTTCATTTTTTTTTCAAAGACGCGTTTATATTGAATTTTTTAATACAAAATTATCATGAATTAAATTTTATACAAACATTTATTTTGATTATAATTTCATTTATCAATATATGAATAATGCATCGATGTAATATTCATAAAATTAATACAATGTGTGTAAACATGAAATATAAGAAATAAAAGAAATAATTTGGTAAATTTTTGTTTAATTGAAATTTTAAAATATTAGTACTTTATTACTGAATTTTCTTAAATATTTTTATGAAGATAAAATTGTTGTATGACTTTTTGAGATATTTTATTAATTTTACTTTTTAAAAAAAAATCATTATATTCATTTTGGTGATTGGAAGCTACAAATGATCAATTTGTTGTATGCCATATAACTAAAGTATGCAATGTTAAAGATCAAATCCAAAACCATGGAAGATAAGATGTGGAAGAAATTAGATACTCATGCACTTCGTCTTCTTTGTGTTACAATTTCAATGGATGTGGCTTCACATGTTGCCAATGATATCACAACCTTTGTATTTATCAAGAGACCTTCTGATTTATTTGAAAAGCCTTCAATATCCAACAAGATTTAATTTTTTTGACGGCTATTTCAACTTTAAATGGCGGAAGTCGTGTCCGTGACGGAGCATATAGTCAAGTTTAACCATATTGAATGAATTGAAAGAGATTGCATATACCTTGGTTGATGAATTGTTTGCACGTTGCTTGTTGATTTCTATGTCAAAGAGTTTATCAACTATTGTAAAGATGATTTTTGGTCAAAAGAAAATAACATTTTGACTATGTTTGTGAACTCATCATTAGCAAATATATTTGAAAATTTGAGCGAGATGAAATAAGTGTATCGATCAAAGGGATCAAGAGAGTCAAAGAAATAAGAACCAGAGTAGATTCAAGTTGAGAGGATGAAATGAACCTTGAACCAAATGTGAGATGAAGTGTTGGAATTGTGTCAAAAATAGTTATTTGAAGCGTGACTGTAATGCATCTAAAAAGTCAAAGAAGTTAGGAGACTAGTCCAATTTGATGTATGCAACAACCAAGTAAGATTTATATGATGCTATAGTTTTATGTGTAGACATATCAATTTTAGAGTCATGTGTTTCTTTCCATTATAGTTATGGTAAATAATTAATGAAAATTTGTTGCAATTGAATAATATGAAAAGTATTCATAATTGATGGTACTACTTAGAGATTATCCTACAATTGCTTGCAATCTTTTAGACATTACATGCAAATCAAAGCTGATGTTCATATTGAGTTGAGCAATGCTCAACTCAATGTATATTTGTGAGCAATGCTCACAAATGAACATTGCATGATGTTTGATACTGACTATGATTAAAAAAGAATTTAATCTATGTGGGCTAATGGGATAGAGAGTGATAAAGTAATATCTTTGGAAAATGTTATTTGAAAATAGTAAAAAGAGCTATAGTTGTAGCACAAGTCACTAAGACAAATACTCTTTATCTAAATCACAAAAAAATAGACTTGGTAGTAGTTGCGGAAATTAAGATCAATCCAATCTTGTGACATAAGACATTGGGACAGATGAGTGATAGAGGTATGAAGGTTATAGCATCAAAATGTTTGTTGTAGCATATGTAAATGATTGAAACTGACTTTTTTTTATATTGGTTGCTTCGCAAATAGAAGCATCTTAATTTTTCAAAAGTAGGACTTGAATTTAAGGAAGTTGAGCTAAAACTTGTGCATGTCATCGGACTAATGTCATGAAATGCGTGAATGAACGTGCAAGTGTTTGAGTTTGGAGCTTGTGTCATCATATTTGTGTGGAGGTTTTATTTATACAAGCCATCTTTGTGAAACTCAATTCTTGTAATTCATGTACAATCAATTTCAACTATTCAGAAGCTACAAGAATCAAGTTACACATAGACAAGAAGACTCTCGATTCTTGTTATTGTTAATCTTCTATGTAGCCTTAAGACAGTGAAAGTAAGAAGATCAAAACAACAAGAGTGATCTTTTGTGCAATTTCTATGATGATTCACAACCGTGAGACTAAGAAGATCAATATAGTGAATGTGATTCTCTGTGCTGCATATATGCAACCTCAAGACAATGAGAGTAAGAAGATTAAGATATTGAGAATACTATCTTCTATGAGGTCTATGTGTTATTACAATTAGAATCAATTTTCATCACCAAACAAGAGTTTAACTAGTAGTGACGAGCAAATTGGGATAAGTTCAGTCTGAAAATCACGTCGCTTCTCGACACAAATTGAAGTTTGGAGTATCGTACTATGTTGCAAACTTGGTCTAAGCACTTTGAAAAGAGATATTAGAGAGGATGAGACTGCCGTTAGTCCAACATCATACAGCTCCACGAGGCGTTGTACACGTTTTGTCATATTTGTGAAGAATATGAAATATAAAATGTATGATATTTTAAGAAAATAAATTGAATTTAATACTCATAAATGTAATAAAAAAATTCATAATTTTAAATCTAAAATAGAAAATTAGACATAGATGTTGATTACAACCTATGTCATACTTTTGTTTGTTATTCAACATCAATCATTATATTGCATAATATTCAAACATAACTTGTAAGTTTAGAATTTCAAATTTGAGCAAAGAATGCTATAAAAAATCATACAAATGCATAGAACTTTTATATATAAAGTTCAAAAATTCAAATCAAATACTTAACTTTTACATTCATCTATATTTCATACATATATAAATTATATACAAATAATATAACTTGAAATTTGTAGTAAAAAAATCATTATACATAAAAAAACTCAAATAAATGAAAATATAGCAAACCCATATGATCTTTGGAATAAAAAAAAAGTGAGAAATATACAAGTCTAAATATGATATGATTTTGAAGGAAGTTTTTCAAATGAAATTGATTTTCATCACATATAAAGATATATATATATATATATATACATATATATACATAAACTATAATTTTCTTAAACTAATTCCATAATTGATTGAGCAACTTGGCTAAGTAACAGATTTGAAATTTCTTAATTGGATAACTAGAACAAAAACGAACCAATAACATGTTTTTTAGATATTTGTATAAACAATACTTTTGAATAAAATGGAACAGTAATTAAGTCTGTTAGAATTTTTTGTATGAATATATATATGAATGAGATACATAGTTACCTTTCCTTGGATTTGTTTCTTGTATCTCCATCAACACTTCAACAAGATTTTTCATAATCTTTTGTTGTCTGATTATGAATCCAAGAAATCAAATATGAAAAACATCTAATAGAGTTGAAATTGCGAATATGTTTTATATAATGATATTATCACACTAGAAAACATGATTTAACTTTTGTAGCATATTGTAAATTCTGTTATGACCATCATGTTTCAAAATCTATTATCTATGACATACGTTACATTGTTTTCATCTTGCATTCGAGCATGTAATACTTCTAAGTCTTGATGTATACTCACATACTAATTTGTTAGTACTCGGTTGCACTTTTTATTTTTTACTAGTCAATTACAACATCTTCTATGGTATTCCCACTACCTCTGATCTCAATCAATCGTCATTATCTTTCTCATTGCAACTAGCACATGAAACTAATCCGCTCTGATCTCAATCGCCATTTTCTCCTCGTTGCAACTTAGCGCAAGATATAACTCGCTAGTATAAAAACATGGAAAATAAATTGCAAGTATGAATGAATGCACAAAACATATTTCTTGTGAAGCCTAAAGTATGAAGATTTTATAAATATTTTTTCAGAGTTTTGAGCAGAGAGCAAAATATTACCGGTGTATAAGATAACCGTATCAATGCATGAGACGAAGTAGGCCCAAGCTTTGATTCCCGATGCTCAACCACGACAATGGTGAACTACATGTTCATGAAATGTAATCTGCCAATTTTCTCACCGCCCCTGAATCGTGGCCTTCATAAATCAGCTCGACGCGGTAGTAGCCCAGATTTGGACCAGAATTGCGCTCCGTAGTCAACGAACGGGAGAGTGTTGAGAGGAACTCGCTAGCAATCGAAGAAATTCCAAGTTCTGGTTTACGTGCTGCGAACTCGGAAAGCAAGGGTCTCGGTGACAGGTCAGTTCCGGTTAGGTTCAGTGACGTGCAAGGAGAGCAGCCTGTCGACAGTGTGCTGCCTGGTCTTGGCTCTCCTTCTGCCTCCCACCCTCCCCTCGTCTTCCTCCCTCCTCGACGAAAGAGAGTGCAACCCTTGGGGCAGACGCGGATACACAGACCGACAGAGGAAGACGAGACCCACCCACCGACCGACCGGGCGAGCGACGAGAAAGAGAGATAGTTGGGTTGTAGTGGCCGTCGAGGGAGAGTCCGATCGACTGCATCCGGGACTTAAAAGAACATCGCACGATTAAGGGAGATTTGCAATTCATCGGGGAAAACTTGAATCAGTCGGCGTCGAAAGTGACGAAGATCGTATAGAAGGGTGTGGAGATCGAGGAAAGGGCAGAAAAGCGCGCCTGAAGGCGCAGAGTTTTCCACGCCCGGCCATCGATGGTGGTAAGGGCTTTGTCACCCCGTGTTCACCACGAGGTAGGACTCGCGCCGAGAGAGAAGTTTGCACCGGCTTCTCCTTCTGATAGGGGAGCCAGTGGTAGTACCAGCGCTGTTGCTGGTTTACCGCAGCACGGTCCCGAAGGCGGCACCATGACGGTGGTGAGCACAGCGAGCGGGCTGCTGGCCATGCTCCGAGAGCAGCATCCTGTATTGAAGCTGCATGCCCTCAACAATCTCAATGCCTTCGTGGATCATTTCTGGCCCGAAGTCTCGACAAACATATCTGCCATGTATGTGGATCCGCTTAGTGCTTATTGTGTCATTGAACCTTTTCAGCTTCTTGGTTTGCAGGGCTCTTTTCTTCTCACCTTCTGTACGAGTAATACGTGTCACGGTTTATGTTTTTGAGGAAGTTTGTCATAACAATTGTATTATTGGGCCTTTGCGAGGTCGGCAGTGAAAGTCTGTACGAGGATGAGACTTTCGATCAAAGACAATTGGCCGCATTGGTAGCATCGAAGGTCAGTGATCATGCTGGGAGGAATAACTTATTATGCTTGATTATTTAGCTGCAATCAATTTGTTGATGATAACATGAACTTTAGGTCAAATGGAGTGGATGCCTTGCTAGGGTTTTTGGTTGCTTTGGGTTCATAGACGGCACTAATTGGGCTGGGTTTTGTGCAAGTGCAGGTTTTTTATTACCTTGGGGAGTTGAATGACTCTCTCATTTATGCGTTAGGGGCGGGACCGTTGTTTGATGTCACTGAGGAGTCGGAATATGTGCAGACCTTGGTTGGTGAGTTTCTGTTTTGCCGGTGCATCCTACATTTTATATACTTGTAGAATACGTTTCGGTATGCTTCAAAACTTGAATGGTCTTCGCTATTGTCAACTGGCACACACAGAAATTAAAATGGTCTCACTTGTTGCAAGAAAAAGCGAACGAAGTTGAATCTTCGCGAGGATGTATCGGCTGTTACATATGTAGTACTGTTTTGCAAGGAATGGAAGAAGTCCATGCGTGTCACTTAGCAAAGCACGGAGTAATCGTCGTGGTGGATTACGTTGAATCGAACTGATGTCACCAAAGTCAGCGTGAAAATTTACCCTGTGCCCACGAGCCTGGGAAGAAAACATGGAACCGAGTTTGATGTTTCTTCTTAATAATCTTTCCTTTGATCTAGAGTATTTTAAGGAATGAAGCAAAGTATGGGTATTTCATGAAACAGAGTCCGGTTGTTCTTCAGAGGGTTTGACTAGAAATTTTGGGTTAGGAGGTAGTACCATTCCTATTCAACCCTCCTTGACAGTCAATAGTCAAGAGATCACCGTCCTCTAAGGAGGAGAATGACCTGACTACTCTTTACGTTGAAGATTATTCAACGTAAAAACGATTAGAGTTTGAACAGACATTTCGGGCCGATGATAATTTTCGTCAGTACAAGAGGTGATGTGCCTAGGGTTGTTTTACTTTCTTCGCTCATTTGTGTGTAATATATCTGAATGATGTTGTTGTCTTGTTTCGTGGGAGGAAAGCCAAGTGCATCGACGAATACATCTCTTTGAGCGTGAAAGCTTCCGAGACCATTGAAGAGTCTCCACCATTAGATCCAAGGCTCTTGGCCATTGTGGAAAAAATGCTTGACAAGTAAGTTCTACTCAAGTGTACCTGCATAATGCTTCCTTGTTGTGCAATTCTACCGCTGCTTCTTTCACTCGTGTTTCAGCCGTGAAAGTACGAGCATAATATTCAGAAGTTTCTTGCTTGTTTTGACTACTCTAGATGCATGGCGGATGGAAAGTTTCAGCAGGCAGTGGGGATAGCTCTTGAATGTCGAAGGCTTGATAAGCTGGAAGAGGCCATCACGAAGAGTGAAAATATTCCGTCTTTGTTGGCTTACACTCTACGTCTTTCACAAACCTTTGTCACGAAGCGGGAGTTTCGTCACGCGGTAATCTCTCCGTAGTTTGTATTGGCAAAATGCTCATTTGTTACCACCGAACACTTGTGGCACCTATAAGTATGATTTGGTTTGGTATGAATCTTCCCACTTGCTTTAACACCTATCAAGACTAATCAATCTAGTATTTCACCTTTGCGGTGCTTGCAGGTACTACGCCTTCTCGTCAGGATCTATCAAAGTCAGCCAAGTCCTGATTATTTGAGTATCTGCCAGTGCCTCATGTTCTTGGACGATCCAAGCACTGTTGCCACAACTCTCGATGATCTTATTAAAGGAGACAAAGTAAGTTTCCAAATTGTCTACTGGCTGTGAGGTTGGTTGGGGAATCTGTATGGTTAGTCTAGGATATTATCAAGAAGCATTCCCTGACATTTTGCCATGGTCTTTCCAGGTCGATGCTCTTTCTGCCTACCAAGTGGCTTTCGATCTTTTTGAAAACGAGTATCAACTGTTTCTTCTAAATGTAAGAGATCGTCTCCCCGAAGTCAGAGCTTCGAGTTCTCTTGATGTTGCCGGTAGTGGTGCTCCTGCTGCCGTCCCCGTAGCGATGCCCGCACAACCAGTTACTGCTGATGCGGACAATGGGGCCACTGCAGACAGCGGTCCGACTGCCATGGATACCTCTGATGGAGAGCCTTCCGAAAGGACTCCTCTGTTAGCTCGTGAACCTTCACCAGCCCCACAAGTGCAACCAGTTCATGTTGTTCAACCCGTTAGAGAATCTCCAGAGCCGACTGCAGCAGCGGAAGATGCAGCAGAGTCGTCGGAAATGTCAACGTATGCTCAAAGACTCACGAGGTTGAAGGGAATTTTGTCTGGTGAAACACCTATCAATTTGACACTTCAGTTTCTGTACAGCAACAATAGGTGAGCAGCGATACTTGTGTTTTGGCCTAGTTATTGGATTTTTTTGGGGTATAGATTGTGCTTTTTGTCTGCTGTGCGTTAGGTAGGCATTGAACACGTAGATGGGGAAGTCAACGAAGAACCTTCGATCTCTTTGATCTGATTATGTGGAATGTAGGTCTGGTTGGCTCGGGTTTCTAACCTCCTCTCGAAATGTGTAGATCGGACCTTTTAATACTTAAAACTATAAAACAGACAGTTGAGCTCAGAAACAGTGTTTGCCATAGTGCTACTATTTATTCGAATGCGCTCATGCACGCCGGAACGACAGTGGATACTTTTCTGCGTGATAATCTTGTGAGTTCTCACACTCAATCTATATTAAATCGTTTAGTCATTTGATAAATGCCTGTAAGTTACTCCTTGTTTACTGGCCTTTATTAGCGACATTCTCGACTCCGAGCGTTTCATTGGTTTTGTCTGGGTACGTCTCATGCAAAATCATGCATGTACATGAAGTGGGTTGCGTGAGGCTTCCTCACTTCTCTGGCGAGGGACCCAATATGTCTTGGAATAGTACGTTGTCTCAGAAAGCATACCGTTGTGTCCTGGGTACGTCTCATGCAAAATAATGCATGTACATGAAGTGGGTTGCGTGAGGTTTCCTCACTTCTCTGGCGAGGGACCCAATATGTCTTGGAATAGTACGTTGTCTCAGAAAGCATACCGTTGTGTCCTAGCCCCTGTCCTACACAAATCACACAAAACGCCAGCAGAGGGAATGGAACCCTCGACCTTGCAATTAGGAATTGCATGCTGTATCCACTGACCTATGCCAGCTTTTTTGGCTCAAAGTGGATCAGATTTCAAATTTCAATATTCACGAAGTTGGAGGTCTCGAAAATTGTGTAATTCTCTGAAATATTATAGGCGAACTTGGAGATCTGCATGTACGTTAAGTGTGTTGCTTGAGGCCTCCTCACTTCACTTTATTCTTCGGTGTCATTCATCTCATAGTATTAATAAATATCGCCCACTTGATATTCAGGATTGGCTTAGCCGAGCTACAAACTGGGCTAAGTTCAGTGCGACAGCAGGTCTTGGTGTCATACATCGTGGTCACCTCCAACAAGGCCGCTCCTTGATGGCTCCTTATCTGCCTCAAAACGGAACAGGTGGTGCGAGTCCTTATTCAGAGGGAGGGGCTCTTTATGCACTTGGTCTTATCCATGCCAACCATGGAGAGGGCATCAAGCAGTTCTTGCTCGAAAGTTTGAAAAACACCAATAACGAGGTTGGTAATTTCTCACGTCCCTCAAAAACCGCTGTCATATCTTTTCGACTATATTTAGGCTACAAAAAGAGGAACATCTATGCTCCTATTTTACATTGTGGCGTGTGTCAACTGAGGACTAAGTTGTTGGTGTACGCAGGTTATTCAACACGGTGCATGTCTGGGTTTGGGTTTGGCAGCTCTTGGTACGGCCGACGAGGAGATTTACGAGGATGTCAAGAATGTTCTCTATACCGACAGTGCAGTTGCTGGAGAGGCTGCAGGAATAGCTATGGGACTACTCATGGTTGGAACTGCTAGTGAGAAAGCTGGAGAGATGCTTGCATATGCTCACGAAACCCAGCATGAAAAGATCATCAGGTCTGATTTGTGGTCACAGCGGTGTTGTCTTGTTAAGTTGTAGTTACGAGGTCTTATTCGAGGTATGATGTAGATGGGTTAGTCGACGGTTTCTTGATTATTTCTCGAAAGAACAGAGTTATCTCTCATTTCCGGAGAAGAAATTGCACTTGAGATAAACGTTGATTCTGAAGTAGTCCATTTTCCTTTCCCATCTTCACCTTTCCCTTGTTTTCATGGTAATAAGCCGCGATTTTTGGACCTCGCAGTCATGGCGCGGGTTTTCTGGTCTCCAGACTATGAGAGGCTTGTACTTGTGAGCACAGATGTGTGTTACCTCATATTATTTGCCAACTTTAGTGTGTATTAGTTTCAAGATTAATGAACTTTATGTCATTTTGTCACAAAATCTCATGAGTTGGATGTTGATTTTCTATCAGGGGTTTGGCATTAGGAATTGCGTTGGTTGTTTACGGCCAAGAGGAAGAGGCCGATACGTTGATTGAGCAGATGACCAGAGACCAAGACCCTATTTTACGTTATGGGGGTATGTACGCGCTCGCCCTAGCGTACAGAGGCACTGCCAACAACAGTGCAATTCGTCGCTTGCTGCACTTTGCCGTCTCCGATGTTAGCGATGACGTTCGGAGGACTGCCGTTTTGGCTTTGGGTTTTGTGCTTTGTTCTGAACCCGAACAGGTTAGTCTCTGCACCCAAATTGTGGCGGATCTCTTTGAAGTGGGTGCTAGTGGAGACTCTAAATTGAAGAATAAGGTCATGCCGTTTCAAATTGTGTGTAGTAGAGGTTGATGGCCTTAAATGCGAGGAAACGTTTATTATATTGCAGAATGCATGAGATATACAGTTTGCTGTTTGTATGTTCTCCTCGAATGAACGACCATGATGAATTTATCATTCCTTTGCAGACGCCTCGGATCGTATCATTGCTGTCGGAGTCTTACAATGCACACGTGAGATATGGCGCAGCTATGGCTGTGGGAATCTCATGCGCTGGGACTGCTTCTAGTGAAGCTATTTCCCTGTTGGAGCCTTTGACATCGGACGCAGTAGACTTTGTGCGTCAGGGAGCCCTGATTGCCATGGCCATGGTGTTGATGCAGACAACAGAAGCACGAGATCCTCATGTTGGCGCCTTCAGGTATGTACTTGTTGTCTGCTCCTGTGTTCACTTTTGCAGTCGGATATTTAAATAGGTAGTGACGTTGCGACGTTGTGTTAGCATGTCAGCATGCGTTGCAAGTATTTTTGTTTGACTGAACATACCTTCTCCTGTCACACAGGCGGCAACTGGAGAAAATCATATTGGATAAACATGAGGATACAATGAGCAAGATGGGTGCAATTTTGGCACAAGGAATTTTAGATGCGGGTGGTCGTAATGTCACCATCATGCTTCAGTCAAGATCTGGTCACGATCGCATGACTGCTGTTGTAGGGATGGCCGTATTTAGCCAGTTCTGGTATTGGTATCCCCTTCTATATTTCATAAGCTTGTCTTTCGCGCCGACAGCTTTTATTGGTCTCAATCATGAATTGAGAATGCCCAGATTCGACTTCATTTCAGATATTAGGCCTTCAGTGTTTGGCTATCCACCTTCTATAGCACCACCGACTACAACTTCGGCTGTGAAGTTTCCAACAGCTGTCCTGTCCACATCAGCACGGGCGAAGGCTAGGCAAAAGAAGGATGCAGCTGGAAAGGGTCATGTTCTCGGAGGGAGTTCTCCGGGGCACGCCGACGTAGGATCCAGCGCAGAAGTTAGTGGTGACTTCAATGAGACAACTTCGTCTGGGAAAGATGGAACTGCGATGGAGGTGAGCTTCCCTTGACATTTGCTGAATTGTTTTTACTCAAGTTTGGACATCAGATAGTGTGGTTGGCTTGACTCTTCTGGAATACTGCGGCTCTGTACATCGCGAGTGTGGTGGTCCTCGATAGTATGTAACGTCTTGGCACCATTTTGTGATTGGAATATGTTGCCATTTGGGCCCGCTAATGTTGTTAGCACATGGCTCGAGTTCGTCGCTTCAGTAAAGAGAGAGCGGACAAGAAGATAGCATTTTGTTTGAGGTTTGGTTTTGTAATTGCTGAGTGGAAGCCTCGCTTTATCTGAAAGCCCTAAACTTCTATGGATGAATTTACAGGTTGAAGCTGGCCCAGAAAAGAAGCCGGCTGAAGCCAACACAGAAGTCTTGAGTAACCCAGCCCGGGTTGTTCCCGCACAAGAGAAGTACATCAAGTTCCGAGAAGATAGTCGGTACATGCCAGTGAAGAGGTCTCGACCTTCAGGTTTTGTCATGTTAAAAGATCTAGAACCCTCAGAGCCTGAGGAGCTGGTGTCAACCGACACCCCCATCTCTGCTGGGGCTCCTGGCACTGCACCTAGTGCTGCAGCAGCTGCTAATGCACCTCCTTCTGGATTGGGAGCTGATGACTGGGATCCTCCACCACCCGAGTCTTTCGAGTACATTCCCTAGAAGACTGTACGAGGGTTAACAGTGAGGCCAAGAAGTCTTCTAAATGCCACACAGGGAAGTCCATTACAGCTTGAATGGGCTGCGTATGAGTAGAGAGCTTCGAGGACCATGAACTGACCTGATTCACAGTGATAAGGCCTACTGCTAATCTCCAGCGCTGGCTTAATGACTCAGTATGGTCTTTTATTACTGTCTTTGTGTATCATTCATTTTCTGATTCAAGAACAGAGTCCAATAGTTCTAGTTCACGCGAAAGGCTAAGCATTGAAGGAATGATCCAGGGGAAGTACTTTGCATCCAATTGTTTATGGTCTGTTTATGGTGGTTTTTCTGTTGATCGGCTATCTCTATTCTCGAGGTCAAGGTCCTTGGAAGAATTTATCGTACTTCCGGATCTGCCTTGAGAGCAGAAAACGAGCCCCTTATAGGTCACGTGATGTGCGCCACATGTGGGTTCTTGGGTACTTAGTCTCCAGGAAGCCACATACGCATCTACTGGTTCTTGAGCCGTATCCCACCCTCCTTGCTGAGGTGCCTTTATAGGTGCAAGGTCATTTGGAGGTCGCCTTCCGCTTCTTCCCCATTGGGATCATCTCTTCTGGATAGAGATGCAGGTGAGACCTGCACTTTCCTCTAGCCTTTAGTCTCATCCCTTGTTTCAAAGTGGACAACGTGTATAGTTTGGCCACAGTGGCTAGGTTGGATCCAACTTTTTGATGACAAGGGAAAATGATATTTATCGAAAGATTTGAAGGTCGGCTACATCTGAAGCCATTACGGTGAAGTGAGTTTGCAGTCTTTGGGGAGAATTCCATCAATTCCGTGCACTTTGGATATCTTCTCATCCAGCAATAAATCAATTTTGCGGCCTAATCTGTACGGTGCTGTGTGATTGGTGAATGAATTAGTGACAGGAAGTAGGAGCTACCTGTGTTGAAGTGTCTCCCTTTTGTGAGAATTGTAAGTGATGGACTTGATTCTTCTTATGGTTGAGGACTACTCATCAATAGCGTTTGTCTTTCATCTTGAAGCTGCGTTTTGTGTAGTGCAACTTGGGTTTTGGTTTTCTTTTTATGGGCCGGGGGCCATGGTTAATCTTCTATCACTTACTTTTGCTTCGATGATCTGAATAAGTGTTTTCCAGTTCATATCTCTTATCATTGAGTTGTGATGATATATATGGATGTAGACAAATAAAAAAATTAAAAATCACAAAACTTATTTGCCGTGCATGCGGTTTTGCTTACCCTCGACAGTCTATGGGCTATCCAAGATCAAAAAAATAACTCACTGTACTTAGATGACTTCAAGATAGGTAAGAAGAATATCAAACCTTGTAATCTAATCAGAATTGACATGTTTTGTATGTTATTACAGCCCCGGAAGGTTTGAACCTCGACTAGTGCCTCATAGATTTTCAATTTGAAGTTCCGAGTCCCATCAGTTAATTGTGGTCGAAATAAGACCAATTCAAAAGAATACTTTCACGTGCATTCGTGTAACTTTCAACTAACTCCGAACTGGTCCAGGTCTGTCTTAACAATAATTTTATAGAATTACGTTGCGTGCTTGCTTCAAGTGAAATCGAATCAAAGTTCCTTGAATTCTCCGAGTGATTTGATCTACGAAATGATTTCACGACACATAGCCTCTTCTTACGGTACTTCTCACTTTACGACTCGAGATCCATCGCTATTGCAAGACCTACTCCTTGTGGATACAAAGAATAGATATTGCACTGAATAAAAACACGTTTCAATAGACCATTTCATCTTTGACAAGTAGATGAGTGATAAGTCATAGACTCGTTAATACGAATGACATATGGTGATCAAGAGCTGACATGGTGAATTAATCACATGCAACTCAATATTCTTTCATAGATATCATTACGGCATAATGTCTTAAGTTTGGTTACTTGAATGAGTTTTAATTTGACTAGCTATCAGTATGTCAAGATGTGTTAACCTCAAAAATCAGTTCACACATGGATCTTAATGCTAACATTTTTGACTCTCCTAATGTACATGCTACAATAGAACGAGGAGTAGTGATTTGTACAAACAAAATTAAATGTATAGAAAAAGAACCTAACATTTTTCCATATCTAAACTAGAGCTACCTAAAACTAAGTTCTAAAAATATGATAGAGTAAAGATAAACAGTGAATTTTCTTTAGTTCCTCTCTTTGTGTTCTTGATGCAAGACATGCAGAACAACACAATGTTTACTACAACTCTTTCAAGTAATAATTTTGGTCAACTTATCATATGCATTGATTTTTATCAAAGATTATATTTTTGATAATATGATAGATGATGTTATATTTTTTTTAATCATTTGATTTTCAACAAGATATAATTATTTTTCTATTTGCTATTTTTCATTTGATTTGATGTTGATATTTTTCTATCTAATGTTCATCACTTGATTTGCAACAAGATGTAACATATTTTGATTCTGAAAATAAAAATCATAAACTTCATATTTTCATTACATCTCAGTGATAATTCTATTCAACCCAATAAAACCTTTTGCTACTACAGTTTCCGCTACATATTTAGCTTTTGTTGTGGATTTAGCTACACAATTTTGAAAAGTTGATATTTAATTAATGCATCTATCATCAAGTATAAACACTTATCCAGCTGTAGATCTTTTCTTGTCAAGATCTTGTTCCTGTTGATCTTGTTGTTGTCGACTTCGGGCAAAGGAGTTGGAGTGCAAAGATCTTCGGCGAGAGTTAATGGCCGAAAGGAGCTTCGTACACAGAAGGAACAAGAATGCAAAGATCTTCGGGTTGAAGTCTGTGTAGTTCAGAAAGCGAAGTACGAACTTCGGTACGGATTAGAGGAGTCTCAGGGTATGTTTCAAAAGGAATTTCAGCGCCCAACGGAGCAGACAAAGCGTCTGGCGACACATGAGCGGTTGATGACTGCCGAAGTAGCCCTTTGGAAGTAACGATTAGCATCCTGCGATGCTGCTAAATCTTTGGAGTTGGACAATAGGAGAGAGCTGGATGCATATTGCAGAAGTTTGCGATCTCAACTGTTGGCAGTTGAGAGTCAGTTGGCTGTTGCTCATCCAAATTGATGAAGACAGAGGTAACCATTGGACGTCTGGAGCAGGAGATAGTTGTCGGCTTGAGAGCTAGAGTAGAACGATATCTTCGCGGTTATGTGGATTACGAGATCCTGACCACAAACTGGTTGAAGTTAGACTCGTTGGAGCGTAAGTTGAGAGAGTTGGAGGCCAGCAAGATAGGAGTACACAGACAATTAGTATAATAGTTAGTTCTTTCATATATGACTTGGAAGAGACTAGTGAGAGCTTAGAGCTAGAGCTCACTGCAGTTCTGAGTAGAATACGAGTTTGTAGGTGCTCTGAGGATGTGGCAACTGCTGCGCCCGTGGATGTCACGCTTGACGAGGGCTCAAAACTAGTGGGTGGTGCCTCTGGGTGTTCGTTGTGAATAAATTGGTCAAAGGTTCTACCTTGAACCAGCTTTTCCATGAAACCGTTTTCCGCCTTTAGTGTGCATACCTCTGCACATTTGTGAGTTATGCGTTTTGTCACAGTGCAAGAGTTGCTTCCGTTTGTCAAAGATAGCGCATCTGAAGTAGAGTAGCCATTTTGGGTGTTTGGAATGGTGCATAGTGTAGCTCAATATTTAAGCAAACCCGTAGATTGGGTGCTCGGTGCAACATGCTGAGCGTGTATTCTTGGGAAGTTTTCCCCCTGAATTTCAAGTGCAGATTCGCTTGCTATTTCTATGGTATTTATTGGATGTATTTCAAGATTTTCATGTGTTTACACCTTGCATTTGTATAGTCTTCGGATCAACACTTGTAGATGCTTCTGGAAGTGACATGTGCATGAGAAGTAAAACTCTTCAATAGAATGTTAATCGTGACAGTATTTGAATCTCTGGTGTTGTTTCTGTCCTTGTGGGATTGGAAATATATCATTATGCTTCATTTTGATATTTATTTGTTGTTAAAATTTTTCATCTTGATATATGCCAATACATCAACAAAAATACATGATCCATGACTTGAATAATATTCAACTCCAATGGCTTTTTGATAACTCATTATTATTTGGATTGTTGGAATATATCTACATGTTTGTGAACAAATATTCTTTCACATAATCTCATTAGTCATCTTTCAAGACCAACACTCAAAGATGATTTGCAAAATCTAACTTTTATTGAAGAAACAAGTAATTTTACAAAAAATTCTTCAAAACTTGGTTGAGATTTTCTTTTCCATCTAATTTTCATTTATGAAACAAAATATCACACAAAGAACTCTCTAAATCTTGCTTAAGTGTTTTTTTTATCTATCCATTGTACTACTTCAAATATTACAATCATGTTAATGACTATCTAAGTTACATTCAATAAGATTGATCTTGATAGATTTGACAATTTTTTATTTCTTGTCAACATGACATTGACTTATTTAAAATTTCTTAAAGTTTCTTTATTCTTAGACTGAGGTAACAACATGTCATGAGGATCCAGAACTTTAAAATATTTGCCATAAAAAAATAATTTAAATTTAATTAAACCAATAAAAATTCTACTAATTAGTCAAACCAATCAAATTGAACATGTAATCAAAGCATTTTTTCAATATAAGTAGACTTTGCTATTAAACAAAATAAAATTGCTCATTCATGTTTCTAAATATATCATATTTCTTTGCCAAATATAATGTGATACTTAACTTATTCATAATTAAGCTAGCCATGATAAACTTTTTGCTTAATATTACAATCAATTTCGCACATAAAACCATAGATTTTACAAATTGATGATAATTTTCTCATAAGTTGAAAGACTAACAACAGAAACAGTTTCAAAAATTGGGAAAAATAAAATAATTTGTATGAAGAGTAAGTTAAATAGATTTGACATTATGAAATATTGAATATGTCAACTTCCTGCTTATGTAAAGATAAATCAAAGACAATCAGTTTATAAGTTTTATCAATATGTTGGCACCAAAACTTTTCACTATGATTGATAATTTGAACAATCTTAAGGAGTAATTTGTAGATATTTTATTATATATTTAAATTAGAAATATAAGTATGATGATTAATTTTTTTTACTAGAATATTTTAAATGGCAATTTTATCAAAAAAAATGTTCAACATGTTGTATAACTTCTTCAACTTACTCACACAAAAAATCTGAAGTCTTAAAAGGTATTTTAAAAATGTGAAGTAAAAGTTGAAATTTATATTGACAGGAAGTTTTTATTTCTACATAAACATTGTAGCAAAAGTTTATTTTCAAGAAATTTTGAAATTATTGCAAAAAGGAAAGATCAGTTGAAATCTTGCAATTAAACGTTTGAACCAAACCGTATTAGATTAAAAGATGCATAGCATGCTGAACTAGTTTGATCTACAATGAGCATTGTAAATCAAACTAGCTTGTTTTCAGCTGAAATTTTTTACCTAAGTGTGTTATGTATACTTTTTCTTTTATTTTTTCACTTAATTGTAGACACTATTTGAATAGTTTTACAAAAAATCATTTGACTACTATCTAATTGTATGATCATAGTCCGAATCAAGTCGGATACTATATCCAAGACAATATTCTTTTCTTCGATAAGTGAGTGATGTGAAGTGTTCTAAGGTAACCTTTCTAACCTGTAGGGTCATTGTTAATAGAGATGTTTCTTTCGATAAACCCACATCATGCAATCACTTAGGGAAGTATATATTTTTCTAATGCAAGAGCGGTTGTTCGTTTTATTATGGAGTAATGGGTCGTGGATGTAAACTAATGTTTTCGCAAGCTTTTGTCACTATTCATCCGATGTTACTCATTGGAGTTGTATCTACCGGTAAGTGA